AAGACTAGTAAATTACACGGTATTGCTAGTAGACCCATGTAACATCAAAAACGTAGCTATTTACACTCTGGATGACATGGCTAAAGCTGAATGGGTTAATGAGACAACCTGTGCCTGGGAGTGGATTAAAAACAAATCACCAAGCATAGGATCCGTAGAGACTGCACAAGCTTGCAAATATCTTTTCTCATCAAGCGAAAATTGTAAATCGCAAATTTCAGAATGTGTGAAATTCACGACGAACGTTGAAATATTAGCGGCAATAAGGTTGCAGTGTCAGTACTATATAAGAGAAGGATGGCTTAAGATAATACAAGAATGCACAAAGGTATCTAAACGCTCGAGACGTGGCTTGCCAGCTGCCGCATATTTTTTCTACTCGCTATTTATGTTTGGTGCAGGTGCCGTGACAAGTACAGTCTTGTCTAGCTCGAAACCACAATCAAGCTCCGAAATAATGCATGATTTCATGAATGTAACTACCAAAGTATTAGCTGTACATCAAGATAATGTGAATGCCCTAGTTCGACAGGTTAAGCAGCTACAAATGGACATCGAGCAACTGCAAAACATCTTACCCATGACAGCATTTATGCCGGGTACTGTCACTTATAATTTGCACCGTATGCAAGAAATCATGGCAGAAACAGCCACCAGTGCTTTAAACACCGGTAAAATACCCTATTCAGCGATAAATTTCTTCAAGATTGAATTACCATGTGGGAGTGAATGCCCAATTGACTCCATGTCAAGAGCAAGTTGTTCAGCTCAAAATACGAATGATGAAAACTTTCTATCATTTTTATTTGATGTTGATGTAATAAAGGGTGTCTAAGAATTAGTGGAACTCAATTCAAACGTAAAAATGAAGGTTTATTTGTAGGGATATTAAAAAGATTTTGATAGAAAATGAAAGATAGCACCTTCTTGATCAATTTAATACCAAAAGTAGATTTCATTTCGTGAATCAAACAGGCGAAATAAGGTCAAACGCAATGCAATCTCAAAAAGAGTAATTTCACCCTATGGGAAATTTAGTGCATTACTCAATGTTAATTTTTACTTTTCTTTACTGGTTTGCGGAAAATGGCCTCGAATTCGTTAGATAAGACGAAAACTGTCAGAATTTGCGACAGGCTGGTTTTATTGAGAGGTCTTGAGTATGATGTTATGCTGAATAAGTCTAGGAAAAAAATCTAGCTTCGAATATCTCTGATTCTAGAAAAAATTGGGTGAAATTATCGAAAAAAGTAGCTAGTCGTTCTGGACTTAATCTGATGGAAAGTATTCGATAAAAACTTTTGAAATTCCATAAACATCTTGTATGTAATGTCTTATAAAGATTGTAAAAAATATTCACCGGTTAAGTAATCAATTTTTCTAGAAAATCTGTTTTATGTTCAGTTCCACTAATTATTAGACTCCCTTTAGCAGAAGAAATCGTGGTGCAAAAAGCAGATCCTTTCATACTCATTGAGGAGAGAAATGGTACTGAAATCTGCTTAAACATACGATGGTCCCGAATATTTCATAATCAACAAAACATCAACTGAACTCTGTGAAATCTCAAGAGAGGAATTAAATCAACGAAAGTTATTATTTGCTGGGAAAAACTGTAAAAAACCTCTTCACTTCGGAAAATGGAAATTATCAAACTGTTTAGAGACTAACAAGTACGTGGTCAAAGTACCGCAAATCAAAATAGTCAACGACGATTTTTACATCTATTGTATGGGGCATAATTTGACAATGTTTAACCTAACAAAACCTTGCTCAAATAGGATCTTGAAAATCTCTAGATCACTTCCCTTCGCAATCGATGGTAGTCCTTACACTGTTTCAAAAATAGTTGAATTAGAAACGGAACCAATAACAACCTGGTCTAACTTGATAAATTGGAAAGTCATGCCTTACGATCCGGAAACTGTAAATCTGGAGCCAGCACCAATTGAGCTTCTAAAGGGAATCCTAAAAGAAAATGAAAAGGCCATGAATGCTTCCGCTAAACCATGGTATCAACGTATAGTGGATGACTTGATCAACATTGGAATTGCAACTATTGCAATTTGTGTTGTCATCCTCATATTCTTTAAGTTGATAGAGTGTAGCTACTACTTGATAAGAAGGCCTGTAGTTGCTTTGACTGTACACAAAGAAGACACAAATCTCCAGACCGACCCATTCATCGTTACTCTATGCCAGCGCATCAATATCGATAAATCCCTTTGACTTCTTTATATTAATATTAACCTTAGATTTTAATTATTCTCTTTTTCTTCTTGCACTTTCCTTTGCACATTTCTCTGCACAATTTAAGCATGGATGACCGAGCAATTTATAAATTTGTAAGTAGATACGCCAATGAACACATAATGTCTCTCTGGATTCGAGGTGGAATAAATACTCCCGAACAACATATTCACCACAGAATCGTATTAGAATATTGCAAGACTTTAATAAAACTTTGCGAAACAAGAGAACTGGCTTACAGAGCTAAGGATCAAGGAAATAGGGCTTTAGAGAAAAGATTCCTAAACAATACTAGATACTTATATGAGTATTTAATAGATTACATGGCGCACCACAAGGATCATAAATTACCTATATTCCCTTCCCGCATGTGCTCAGAATTTTTCGATGCAGAAAATATTGATCCCTGTGAAACCGTTCACACTTGATCTAATTCCTTTTCATTTTGTTTTAGAATGAAGCCTACTTACAAACCCAACGAAGCCCTCCTTGATCAACCTTATTTATATAATCTAGCACCTGATCGACCACCAGCTTGGCTAATCCTAAGAGAGTCACCCACTTCGTTGTACTTACTCAATATTTAAAAGCACTTTTCTTCAATAATGGGTTTCCTAAAAAGACAGAGCTGAAAGGAAACTATTTCACCATTAAATCTACTCAATGAGAGAAAATATGCACGAGTTACTATTTCCTCCTATAATCATCGAAGATTGCATTTGGCTGTTGATAAATTCAAAGTAGAATTAGGTAACCAACGTTACAAATCAATCAAAAAGAAACATTGCGAAATATGCTTCAGCGGCTCACATCGTAAATCAAAATGCACCAATTGCTAGCTCCACCGCAACAGGTCACGACTTCGAAATTGTCCCTTCTAAATAAACAGGATCGGATGAATCAGACACAACCGGGGAAATCATCAACAAAAAGCAAGGGAAGGAAACAGGCCGCAGAAAGACAACGATTCTGTCAGCAAATTTTCTAATCAACGTCCTGGAGAATATCTCTATTCTTGTCTCAATGATTTGTTAAGACTTGGACCTGAAAATGATAAGAAGAAAAATGTATCTTTATTTGTTAATTGTAACTATCCGTCCTGTACTCTCAAAAGTGTGGCAATTGCAGGTCATTATCATAGTAGAAAAGGAGGAGCTAAATGGATCTACGCCACTAATGTTAAATTGATTCAGGAAAAGCTGAAGATGGAAGGAGCTAAATCTTTAGATGAAATCAAGAAAGATGTATTGCATCTTTGTAAAGACATGCGATTGCTCACTTTTGATAGCAAAGATGAGGCCTTTACCAGCCTTCAGATCACACCTAATGATTTGCTTATCAATGATATTGAACATGTAAATGCCAAATCGTTGTTTGGAAACGTTCCTCTGGAAAGATTAATCAGATTTTATTTGCCAAAAACTAAAGGTTTAAAAGACAGCAAACCAGATGAAATTATTCCAGAATCAGCCTTAATTGCGAGATATGTTATTCGCTTGTACAGAAGGTACTATCAAGTGTTAGAGCAGCACAGGAAAGCACCTGATGGTGAGACAGTGCGATTCTTTGACTTCAATGGGAAAAACGTTGAAGATTGGTTGAAAGAACAGGGACTGTTCCAAATAGCGGCCGGCATGTGTAACAAATGAAATAAGCAATTTATTGATTATCACTTAGTTGAAAGTTTGCATTTTTAATTTTGAATATTTAGTCATAGTGGTTGACCAGTGATAATGACCAATAATTATTACTACTGGTCAACTTCAGGTTAATCTTCTAGTTTATAGCTAATGTACCATTGACTAATTATATTTCATCCAAGTTTAATTGACATTAATTAGCCAAAGTAATATTAGTTATAATTAATCATAAAGCAATCAATAGAGTGAGCTAAATTCAAATGAGAGAGTCAAATGGAAAATTAGTATAAAAAGAGTTCGCTTGTAATTGTAAAAGTCAAATTAACTTCCCAGTTCACTTCAACTAGTTCTCCAGCCACCGGTCAATTCTAGGTAGAATTCGGTGGTTCCCTTTTCCTTCCTTTTACCTTTACCTTCCTATAGTCGTAAAACCACCTAAACTATTGTAACTCTATTGTAACTCTATTGTAACTCATACCATTGTAACTTTAATTGTGTTCAAATTGTAAACCTTACTTGTTAATCGTCAATACTAATTGTACCCTTAATTGTGAACCATTTATTGTATACCTCTATTGTTAACCTGCATACGTCCCCAGCTTAATAAACGCTTTCGCTGCTACTATTCTCCGTGCAGTTTCTTCGGTCTTCTTCCAGTAACCAACAGGATATAACTGTTTAGATTCATCACATTGTTTAAGAACTGCCCCAATTTCTATTTTGCTTGTATCTGTCTCGAGAACTATTTCATTATTGGGATTGAACATTTTCAATACTGGCTCTGAGGTAAGTAATGATTTAATTAAATTAAAAGATTTCTGGCAGTCTGAGTTTAAGCAGAATTTATTTTCTTTTCGAAGTAATTGATGCAATGGTTCTAAAATTTCAGTAATATTATCGATAAACTTTCTGTTGTAATTAACTTTACCTAAAAACCTTCTTAATTCTGTTAAATTTTTAGGAGGAGTTAGTTTCAAGATCGAATCAACATTACTATGGAGGGATGAACTTTATTCAGGAAACTTTATTTCATAGCCCAGATATCATCAGACTGATAGCCAAAAAACGTGCTGAATTTTGTGGTAAATGTAATAACTAGTGACAATCTGGTTAATTTTATTTTTTTATTTTAATCAGTATGTGTTAATTGTAATGAAATTGTACAACTCATGTTAGATCACTACATTGTATATATTCATGGATAAGAAGCGAGGCCGAGAATCTTATCAATGAATAACTGCATGAATGTTAATTCAATGAACACTATCATCTTAACAATCCTACGATCCTCTGTTTCGATCCTTTATTAGCATGTATCAGTAATTCAAGAGCATGTGCATGAAGATATTCATCTGTAAATCCGCTGCAATCAACACCATTGAGAGTTAGTAGTAGTTTTATACAATAAGGGGTTAGATTAAGAATCTGTTCTTCGCTTAGCAGATCAAGGATGTTAAATAGATTTAAATCAACATTGAGACTTGGTATACAAAGAGATAAAGAAGCTTTAGCATTTTGAATGCCTGGAGCGACTGGAGCGGATGGAGAACCTGGAGCGGCTGGTGAACCTGGAGCGGATGGAGAACCTGGAGCGGACGAAGAACCTGAAGTGGCTGAAGAACTCGAAATGGCTGAAGAACCTGAAGTGGCTGAAGAACTCGAAATGGCTGAAGAACCTGAAGTGGCTGAAGAACTCGAAATGGCTGAAGAACCTGAAGTGGCTGAAGAACCCAACGATAGCGATAATTGCCATCAAAAAGAAATACGATACGGATTTATCTAATTGCATTTTAACTTTTTTATGATTAGGATTTATCTAATTGCATTTTAACTTTTTTATGATTAGTTGATTTTATAAGTTTGAACGAATATACATTTTCTCTGAAAAACTAGACTTTTATACTCATTCACATGCACAGATGTTTATACATCTGAATTAATTTATGGACATAGTCTGTTAGATCTGTCAAATTGTATTAAAATTACTCCGCGTGAAACCCAAAATTCGATATAATAAAATACTGATCAAAATATTTATTCAAGTTTAATCAAAATCTATTTTTAATTCAATTTGACATGCGAGACAATCAAATATTATGATATTATCAAACGATTGTTTGAGTTTGATTTTGATTTTTGATAATTTTGCATACGAGTCTATCAAACATTGGTCTGCTTTACAAAAAAACAGTTATTTATCAAAATAAGTGCTTTCTCTGGTTGGCTCGAGGAGTGTGTCCGAATTGTTGATGGACTCTTTCCATTACCTTCATCCTTAAATTTTCAGGTAAAATAACCTTTTTTTCCCCTTTTGGCAATTTTAAAACACAATCCATTTTCATTAACCAGTTATGACAAATTCATTTTCAATTTGATTTGTTCATTTCTAATTTCATTAAAATTAATAAAATTAACCAATTTGAGAGGCAATTCAATCTCTTCAATAGAAATCAGTTCTCTGGACAAATAGTCAGCTACTAAATTCTCAATTCCAGGTCGGTATTTTACTCCGAAATTGTATTTGACCAATAAGAAAGCCCATGTAAATAACCGAATATTAAGTTTATTAATTTTTTTAATTGATTTCAGGGCAATATGATCAGTAATGACAGTAAATTGCCTTTCATAAAGATAATGATGCCAGAATTTAATTGATTCAACGACCGCTAAACACTCAAGATGAGTAGCTGGATAATTTTGCCGATAATTAGTCAATTTTTTTCAAAAGTAACCAACAGGATGTAACTGTTTAGATTCATCACATTGTTTAAGAACTGCCCCAATTTCTATTTTGCTTGTATCTGTCTCGAGAACTATTTCATTATTGGGATTGAACATTTTCAATACTGGCTCTGAGGTAAGTAATGATTTAATTAAATTAAAAGATTTCTGGCAGTCTGAGTTTAAGCAGAATTTATTTTCTTTTCGAAGTAATTGATGCAATGGTTCTAAAATTTCAGTAATATTATCGATAAACTTTCTGTTGTAATTAACTTTACCTAAAAACCTTCTTAATTCTGTTAAATTTTTAGGAGGAGTTAGTTTCAAGATCGAATCAACATTACTATGGAGGGATGAACTTTATTCAGGAAACTTTATTTCATAGCCCAGATATCATCAGACTGATAGCCAAAAAACGTGCTGAATTTTGTGGTAAATGTAATAACTAGTGACAATCTGGTTAATTTTATTTTTTTATTTTAATCAGTATGTGTTAATTGTAATGAAATTGTACAACTCATGTTAGATCACTACATTGTATATATTCATGGATAAGAAGCGAGGCCGAGAATCTTATCAATGAATAACTGCATGAATGTTAATTCAATGAACACTATCATCTTAACAATCCTACGATCCTCTGTTTCGATCCTTTATTAGCATGTATCAGTAATTCAAGAGCATGTGCATGAAGATATTCATCTGTAAATCCGCTGCAATCAACACCATTGAGAGTTAGTAGTAGTTTTATACAATAAGGGGTTAGATTAAGAATCTGTTCTTCGCTTAGCAGATCAAGGATGTTAAATAGATTTAAATCAACATTAAGACTTGGTATACAAAGAGATAAAGAAGCTTTAGCATTTTGAATGCCTGGAGCGACTGAAGCGGATGGAGAACCTGGAGCGGCTGGTGAACCTGGAGCGGATGGAGAACCTGGAGCGGACGAAGAACCTGAAGTGGCTGAAGAACTCGAAATGGCTGAAGAACCTGAAGTGGCTGAAGAACCTGATGTTGCAGCTGAAACAGACACAGTCATAATGAAACCAACGATAGCGATAATTGCCATCAAAAAGAAATACGATACGGATTTATCTAATTGCATTTTAACTTTTTTATGATTAGTTGATTTTATAAGTTTGAACGAATATAAAAATCACTTAATTACTTTTCACAGTTTAATCTTCAATTGATACATTTTCTCTGAAAAACTAGACTTTTATACTCATTCACATGCACAGATGTTTATACATCTGAATTAATTTATGGACATAGTCTGTTAGATCTGTCAAATTGTATTAAAATTACTCCGCGTGAAACCCAAAATTCGATATAATAAAATACTGATCAAAATATTTATTCAAGTTTAATCAAAATCTATTTTTAATTCAATTTGACATGCGAGACAATCAAATATTATGATATTATCAAACGATTGTTTGAGTTTGATTTTGATTTTTGATAATTTTGCATACGAGTCTATCAAACATTGGTCTGCTTTACAAAAAAACAGTTATTTATCAAAATAAGTGCTTTCTCTGGTTGGCTCGAGGAGTGTGTCCGAATTGTTGATGGACTCTTTCCATTACCTTCATCCTTAAATTTTCAGGTAAAATAACCTTTTTTTCCCCTTTTGGCAATTTTAAAACACAATCCATTTTCATTAACCAGTTATGACAAATTCATTTTCCATTTGATTTGTTCATTTCTAATTTCATTAAAATTAATAAAATTAACCAATTTGAGAGGCAATTCAATCTCTTCAATAGAAATCAGTTCTCTGGACAAATAGTCAGCTACTAAATTCTCAATTCCAGGTCGGTATTTTACTCCGAAATTGTATTTGACCAATAAGAAAGCCCATGTAAATAACCGAATATTAAGTTTATTAATTTTTTTAATTGATTTCAGGGCAATATGATCAGTAATGACAGTAAATTGCCTTTCATAAAGATAATGATGCCAGAATTTAATTGATTCAACGACCGCTAAACACTCAAGATGAGTAGCTGGATAATTTTGCCGATAATTAGTCAATTTTTTTCAAAAGTAACCAACAGGATGTAACTGTTTAGATTCATCACATTGTTTAAGAACTGCCCCAATTTCTATTTTGCTTGTATCTGTCTCGAGAACTATTTCATTATTGGGATTGAACATTTTCAATACTGGCTCTGAGGTAAGTAATGATTTAATTAAATTAAAAGATTTCTGGCAGTCTGAGTTTAAGCAGAATTTATTTTCTTTTCGAAGTAATTGATGCAATGGTTCTAAAATTTCAGTAATATTATCGATAAACTTTCTGTTGTAATTAACTTTACCTAAAAACCTTCTTAATTCTGTTAAATTTTTAGGAGGAGTTAGTTTCAAGATCGAATCAACATTACTATGGAGGGATGAACTTTATTCAGGAAACTTTATTTCATAGCCCAGATATCATCAGACTGATAGCCAAAAAACGTGCTGAATTTTGTGGTAAATGTAATAACTAGTGACAATCTGGTTAATTTTATTTTTTTATTTTAATCAGTATGTGTTAATTGTAATGAAATTGTACAACTCATGTTAGATCACTACATTGTATATATTCATGGATAAGAAGCGAGGCCGAGAATCTTATCAATGAATAACTGCATGAATGTTAATTCAATGAACACTATCATCTTAACAATCCTACGATCCTCTGTTTCGATCCTTTATTAGCATGTATCAGTAATTCAAGAGCATGTGCATGAAGATATTCATCTGTAAATCCGCTGCAATCAACACCATTGAGAGTTAGTAGTAGTTTTATACAATAAGGGGTTAGATTAAGAATCTGTTCTTCGCTTAGCAGATCAAGGATGTTAAATAGATTTAAATCAACATTGAGACTTGGTATACAAAGAGATAAAGAAGCTTTAGCATTTTGAATGCCTGGAGCGACTGGAGCGGATGGAGAACCTGGAGCGGCTGGTGAACCTGGAGCGGATGGAGAACCTGGAGCGGACGAAGAACCTGAAGTGGCTGAAGAACTCGAGCGGCTGGTGAACCTGGAGCGGATGGAGAACCTGGAGCGGACGAAGAACCTGAAGTGGCTGAAGAACTCGAAATGGCTGAAGAACCTGAAGTGGCTGAAGAACCTGATGTTGCAGCTGAAACAGACACAGTCATAATGAAACCAACGATAGCGATAATTGCCATCAAAAAGAAATACGATACGGATTTATCTAATTGCATTTTAACTTTTTTATGATTAGTTGATTTTATAAGTTTGAACGAATATAAAAATCACTTAATTACTTTTCACAGTTTAATCTTCAATTGATACATTTTCTCTGAAAAACTAGACTTTTATACTCATTCACATGCACAGATGTTTATACATCTGAATTAATTTATGGACATAGTCTGTTAGATCTGTCAAATTGTATTAAAATTACTCCGCGTGAAACCCAAAATTCGATATAATAAAATACTGATCAAAATATTTATTCAAGTTTAATCAAAATCTATTTTTAATTCAATTTGACATGCGAGACAATCAAATATTATGATATTATCAAACGATTGTTTGAGTTTGATTTTGATTTTTGATAATTTTGCATACGAGTCTATCAAACATTGGTCTGCTTTACAAAAAAACAGTTATTTATCAAAATAAGTGCTTTCTCTGGTTGGCTCGAGGAGTGTGTCCGAATTGTTGATGGACTCTTTCCATTACCTTCATCCTTAAATTTTCAGGTAAAATAACCTTTTTTTCCCCTTTTGGCAATTTTAAAACACAATCCATTTTCATTAACCAGTTATGACAAATTCATTTTCAATTTGATTTGTTCATTTCTAATTTCATTAAAATTAATAAAATTAACCAATTTGAGAGGCAATTCAATCTCTTCAATAGAAATCAGTTCTCTGGACAAATAGTCAGCTACTAAATTCTCAATTCCAGGTCGGTATTTTACTCCGAAATTGTATTTGACCAATAAGAAAGCCCATGTAAATAACCGAATATTAAGTTTATTAATTTTTTTAATTGATTTCAGGGCAATATGATCAGTAATGACAGTAAATTGCCTTTCATAAAGATAATGATGCCAGAATTTAATTGATTCAACGACCGCTAAACACTCAAGATGAGTAGCTGGATAATTTTGCCGATAATTAGTCAATTTTTTTCAAAAGTAACCAACAGGATATAACTGTTTAGATTCATCACATTGTTTAAGAACTGCCCCAATTTCTATTTTGCTTGTATCTGTCTCGAGAACTATTTCATTATTGGGATTGAACATTTTCAATACTGGCTCTGAGGTAAGTAATGATTTAATTAAATTAAAAGATTTCTGGCAGTCTGAGTTTAAGCAGAATTTATTTTCTTTTCGAAGTAATTGATGCAATGGTTCTAAAATTTCAGTAATATTATCGATAAACTTTCTGTTGTAATTAACTTTACCTAAAAACCTTCTTAATTCTGTTAAATTTTTAGGAGGAGTTAGTTTCAAGATCGAATCAACATTACTATGGAGGGATGAACTTTATTCAGGAAACTTTATTTCATAGCCCAGATATCATCAGACTGATAGCCAAAAAACGTGCTGAATTTTGTGGTAAATGTAATAACTAGTGACAATCTGGTTAATTTTATTTTTTTATTTTAATCAGTATGTGTTAATTGTAATGAAATTGTACAACTCATGTTAGATCACTACATTGTATATATTCATGGATAAGAAGCGAGGCCGAGAATCTTATCAATGAATAACTGCATGAATGTTAATTCAATGAACACTATCATCTTAACAATCCTACGATCCTCTGTTTCGATCCTTTATTAGCATGTATCAGTAATTCAAGAGCATGTGCATGAAGATATTCATCTGTAAATCCGCTGCAATCAACACCATTGAGAGTTAGTAGTAGTTTTATACAATAAGGGGTTAGATTAAGAATCTGTTCTTCGCTTAGCAGATCAAGGATGTTAAATAGTTTTATACAATAAGGGGTTAGATTAAGAATCTGTTCTTCGCTTAGCAGATCAAGGATGTTAAATAGATTTAAATCAACATTAAGACTTGGTATACAAAGAGATAAAGAAGCTTTAGCATTTTGAATGCCTGGAGCGACTGAAGCGGATGGAGAACCTGGAGCGGACGAAGAACCTGAAGTGGCTGAAGAACTCGAAATGGCTGAAGAACCTGAAGTGGCTGAAGAACTCGAAATGGCTGAAGAACCTGAAGTGGCTGAAGAACCTGATGTTGCAGCTGAAACAGACACAGTCATAATGAAACCAACGATAGCGATAATTGCCATCAAAAAGAAATACGATACGGATTTATCTAATTGCATTTTAACTTTTTTATGATTAGTTGATTTTATAAGTTTGAACGAATATAAAAATCACTTAATTACTTTTCACAGTTTAATCTTCAATTGATACATTTTCTCTGAAAAACTAGACTTTTATACTCATTCACATGCACAGATGTTTATACATCTGAATTAATTTATGGACATAGTCTGTTAGATCTGTCAAATTGTATTAAAATTACTCCGCGTGAAACCCAAAATTCGATATAATAAAATACTGATCAAAATATTTATTCAAGTTTAATCAAAATCTATTTTTAATTCAATTTGACATGCGAGACAATCAAATATTATGATATTATCAAACGATTGTTTGAGTTTGATTTTGATTTTTGATAATTTTGCATACGAGTCTATCAAACATTGGTCTGCTTTACAAAAAAACAGTTATTTATCAAAATAAGTGCTTTCTCTGGTTGGCTCGAGGAGTGTGTCCGAATTGTTGATGGACTCTTTCCATTACCTTCATCCTTAAATTTTCAGGTAAAATAACCTTTTTTTCCCCTTTTGGCAATTTTAAAACACAATCCATTTTCATTAACCAGTTATGACAAATTCATTTTCCATTTGATTTGTTCATTTCTAATTTCATTAAAATTAATAAAATTAACCAATTTGAGAGGCAATTCAATCTCTTCAATAGAAATCAGTTCTCTGGACAAATAGTCAGCTACTAAATTCTCAATTCCAGGTCGGTATTTTACTCCGAAATTGTATTTGACCAATAAGAAAGCCCATGTAAATAACCGAATATTAAGTTTATTAATTTTTTTAATTGATTTCAGGGCAATATGATCAGTAATGACAGTAAATTGCCTTTCATAAAGATAATGATGCCAGAATTTAATTGATTCAACGACCGCTAAACACTCAAGATGAGTAGCTGGATAATTTTGCCGATAATTAGTCAATTTTTTTCAAAAGTAACCAACAGGATATAACTGTTTAGATTCATCACATTGTTTAAGAACTGCCCCAATTTCTATTTTGCTTGTATCTGTCTCGAGAACTATTTCATTATTGGGATTGAACATTTTCAATACTGGCTCTGAGGTAAGTAATGATTTAATTAAATTAAAAGATTTCTGGCAGTCTGAGTTTAAGCAGAATTTATTTTCTTTTCGAAGTAATTGATGCAATGGTTCTAAAATTTCAGTAATATTATCGATAAACTTTCTGTTGTAATTAACTTTACCTAAAAACCTTCTTAATTCTGTTAAATTTTTAGGAGGAGTTAGTTTCAAGATCGAATCAACATTACTATGGAGGGATGAACTTTATTCAGGAAACTTTATTTCATAGCCCAGATATCATCAGACTGATAGCCAAAAAACGTGCTGAATTTTGTGGTAAATGTAATAACTAGTGACAATCTGGTTAATTTTATTTTTTTATTTTAATCAGTATGTGTTAATTGTAATGAAATTGTACAACTCATGTTAGATCACTACATTGTATATATTCATGGATAAGAAGCGAGGCCGAGAATCTTATCAATGAATAACTGCATGAATGTTAATTCAATGAACACTATCATCTTAACAATCCTACGATCCTCTGTTTCGATCCTTTATTAGCATGTATCAGTAATTCAAGAGCATGTGCATGAAGATATTCATCTGTAAATCCGCTGCAATCAACACCATTGAGAGTTAGTAGTAGTTTTATACAATAAGGGGTTAGATTAAGAATCTGTTCTTCGCTTAGCAGATCAAGGATGTTAAATAGATTTAAATCAACATTAAGACTTGGTATACAAAGAGATAAAGAAGCTTTAGCATTTTGAATGCCTGGAGCGACTGAAGCGGATGGAGAACCTGGAGCGGCTGGTGAACCTGGAGCGGATGGAGAACCTGGAGCGGACGAAGAACCTGAAGTGGCTGAAGAACTCGAAATGGCTGAAGAACCTGAAGTGGCTGAAGAACTCGAAATGGCTGAAGAACCTGAAGTGGCTGAAGAACTCGAAATGGCTGAAGAACCTGAAGTGGCTGAAGAACCTGATGGATTTATCTAATTGCATTTTAACTTTTTTATGATTAGTTGATTTTATAAGTTTGAACGAATATAAAAATCACTTAATTACTTTTCACAGTTTAATCTTCAATTGATACATTTTCTCTGAAAAACTAGACTTTTATACTCATTCACATGCACACTTTTCACAGTTTAATCTTCAATTGATACATTTTCTCTGAAAAACTAGACTTTTATACTCATTCACATGCACAGATGTTTATACATCTGAATTAATTTATGGACATAGTCTGTTAGATCTGTCAAATTGTATTAAAATTACTCCGCGTGAAACCCAAAATTCGATATAATAAAATACTGATCAAAATATTTATTCAAGTTTAATCAAAATCTATTTTTAATTCAATTTGACATGCGAGACAATCAAATATTATGATATTATCAAACGATTGTTTGAGTTTGATTTTGATTTTTGATAATTTTGCATACGAGTCTATCAAACATTGGTCTGCTTTACAAAAAAACAGTTATTTATCAAAATAAGTGCTTTCTCTGGTTGGCTCGAGGAGTGTGTCCGAATTGTTGATGGACTCTTTCCATTACCTTCATCCTTAAATTTTCAGGTAAAATAACCTTTTTTTCCCCTTTTGGCAATTTTAAAACACAATCCATTTTCATTAACCAGTTATGACAAATTCATTTTCAATTTGATTTGTTCATTTCTAATTTCATTAAAATTAATAAAATTAACCAATTTGAGAGGCAATTCAATCTCTTCAATAGAAATCAGTTCTCTGGACAAATAGTCAGCTACTAAATTCTCAATTCCAGGTCGGTATTTTACTCCGAAATTGTATTTGACCAATAAGAAAGCCCATGTAAATAACCGAATATTAAGTTTATTAATTTTTTTAATTGATTTCAGGGCAATATGATCAGTAATGACAGTAAATTGCCTTTCATAAAGATAATGATGCCAGAATTTAATTGATTCAACGACCGCTAAACACTCAAGATGAGTAGCTGGATAATTTTGCCGATAATTAGTCAATTTTTTTCAAAAGTAACCAACAGGATGTAACTGTTTAGATTCATCACATTGTTTAAGAACTGCCCCAATTTCTATTTTGCTTGTATCTGTCTCGAGAACTATTTCATTATTGGGATTGAACATTTTCAATACTGGCTCTGAGGTAAGTAATGATTTAATTAAATTAAAAGATTTCTGGCAGTCTGAGTTTAAGCAGAATTTATTTTCTTTTCGAAGTAATTGATGCAATGGTTCTAAAATTTCAGTAATATTATCGATAAACTTTCTGTTGTAATTAACTTTACCTAAAAACCTTCTTAATTCTGTTAAATTTTTAGGAGGAGTTAGTTTCAAGATCGAATCAACATTACTATGGAGGGATGAACTTTATTCAGGAAACTTTATTTCATAGCCCAGATATCATCAGACTGATAGCCAAAAAACGTGCTGAATTTTGTTTTATTAAAAACTGTATTTTTGATAGAAATCAATGCTATTCAATGGGAGCTGTAAATTTTTTCCATTTTTCAATTAAATTTAAATAACTCAGTAATTAACTGAGATAGTCAATTTTTGTTGATTGCAAAAATGCTTGAATGTTGTAAGATGCTAATCAATCTGCTAATCAATTTGCATCTCTGTGTGATAATCTCATGAAATTTAATAAAATCAAAGTCGTTTCAATTTAGTATCTGGCCCACCATGTAGATTCATCTAATAAAACAAATACAAATCCCCATAGAAGAGCATACAATTTTTTTTCGAAAAAAGTTAATAAAATGCCGAAATCGAAAAGGTGGCAGCTAATTCTATTATATTAGTCCGGTCGAAGGTCGAATGTACCGATATCTAAAAATAAAATCTCGATATCGATTTAACAATTCGAGAGGTTCCCTCGTTAGATTTAATCTTATCGCACCAAGATTAAAAGTGGTATAACTATTTTTAATCGGATACAGCTTGCAGTACTTTGAATATTCTAATAGAGATGGCAGTATGTGTATCATCAAGCATTTCAACTTCACACGAGTAATTTATTAGAATTTACAGGTTCATTCGCAGGATTAAGAAGGATTGACTCTATTTCAATTTTTCAATGTATAGCCCCACATTCCCATAGGCCAGTGCACAATTTTGCATATATTAGCTGTATTCATGCTAATGTCCAAAAATTATCAACTTTTAACTCATTTCTCACTTTTATTTTTGTAGCCACTTCTTATGAATGCTAAGATCCCATCAAGAGCGATTTGAAAGCGACCTGAAATTAGATAATTTTTATACTTGCTCATAAAATTCAAGGATCTATTCTATTTTTAAACAGTCTGTTCGGGGTTTAATCGAAAGGTCAAAAGTAAAACATGAATAGCATGTAAACTTGATGGACAAAGAAGCAAAAAAGTTCAACCAAGCAAAGGCTGAAAGAAAACAAGAATTCATCTCATTATAATCACTTATATAATCTATAGTCTGAACGCTTTTTCTTTCCTTCGAACAACTGACATTCTTGATAACAGGTCAATCGGAAACTTGACATGGGAGTATCTTATGTAATGATTAAGAAAAGATGAAAAATGGTTCCATTAACCCAGGATTGTTCACGTTTCAATAAAATATTCATTATTGTTTACTCATCAATATTTCCTCTCGATATTGAAGCTATTAACATTGATTCAATTTTGCAAAGATGTTTAAACTTGGCGTAAAACGTGCATCATGATGTACTCAACATTTTTTGGCTCATGATTTTGACGTCAAATATAGAATGACGAAAGTTGCTGTATTATGCCGAGCAAATTATTTAGTGAAAGATCGTAAGACCGAAATGAATGCAACAGATTGGATAGAAAAAAGCAAATTTAAATTTTATTTTCTCTTCGCCACTCAATTGTCGATTAATTTACATGGAAACAATATACAACTTTGTGTTACATGAAAGAAATTTTTACACTTTATTATAATATCGTTTGCTTAATAATTTATAGTTACAAAGATTAAATTGAAAATGATATTTACAAGGTTAACAACTATGGACATTGTTTTACTTTGCTTTTGGTTACCTGAAGTTATATCATTATTAACATCGGAACCATCTGAGAAGGGTCAACCAGTAAAGTTGTGTGAAAATTCCAAGGTATCCAATGTGTGTTTTCATTCATGTTTGTTCCAGAATTTCATTTAGAGAATAAATAGAAATGAAAAGGCAAAATTAGTAATACAATTCTTTCATTAGTTGAATTTTCGTTGCACTGAAACTGAATAAACTATTATCTTGTTATCGATAGTTTTTGTCGCTAAGCAATCTACTTTTAATCATTGATTCCGTCTGAATTATCTTTTTAGTATTGATTCAATATTGATACACAATTTCATTACAACATTGATTAGATAACTATTTATCGACTTTCATGTATCGGGACTTCAATATTTTTCTATCATCATTCATTATTGCATCAAGTGCTAGGAACTATTGTCTATCGGGCTAGAAATTCTGGTTCTGATTCAATAATTTATTTTCTTTAAGCAAAGACAAATTTATAAATCAATAAAACAAGGTTGCTATTTAACGTTGGACAATATTTTTGCGAAATTTTCGTTTCTTTGAAAATTCGAAAAACATTTTTATAAAATGCAATTTTATGATTAAATTACCGTTAGAACTTCGACTTCTAGCATTGGTTGGATCACGACGAGCACCTTTACCTCCAGGAGAGTGAATGCCTGTGGAATAAAATGAAAAAAATATTTACTTTTAGCTACGAATTGGCCTAAAGGGAAAAACAAATTTGATCGACCAAATAAAACCTGGAACTGAAAGGCTAATCATTTAGCAAAAAATATGTGAATAATATGAGGGAGGCAAAAGTAAAGTTGAGAATTCAAAGTCATTTTCATGCGAAATGAATTGAATAGGAAAAAGTGTGGGAGGAAAATTTTATCAGATGAATAGTGTTACTATCATTATGATAAGGATAATTCAGAGGAACAAGATTATGGATAAAAGAAAAGGTGTTATACCATATAATTTGATTGAACCTTCAGTTGAACCAAGTGAGTTTCGAGCATAACACTTGAAGGTTCCAAAATCATTTGGTGAAATGTCTTTTATTTTAAGTATCATTTGGGCTCGATAAAGCCTCTCAACGGTGTGTATCTCATATTTATCGTTAGATATTAAGGCATCTTCATCATCTTTTGTCCAATAGTTGATTGATTTTGGTGAAGATTCTGTATTGCAAATCAATACTGCATCACTGCCCATTGATGCAGCGATTAGCTGATTTGGTACCCATATCATTGGCGGAACTGATCACAGTATGTTTAGTAGACAAAAGAATAGCAGAAAGAGAGAAAAAAGAAATAAGAAAAGGAAGAAGATTTGTAAGATTATTTAAGACGAATCCGAGTGATAAAGAGAAAAAAAGAAGAGGAAAAAATCAGAGAAAAAATAAATAACAGAATAACAATGAAAAAGTACAACAAGAATGGGAATTGATAGGAGTAAGATGGAGATAAGTAAAGAATCAAGATTCAGTAAAGAGAGAAGAGAAAGAGGAATGATTTGGAAGACAAAAAAGGCTGATGCAATTGATCATTGATTTGTGTCAAATTGGATGAACACAGGACAAGGAGTCAAACTGATGGGACAGAAAAAGGCAGTCAGCTTGACTTGCGATCATGATTATCATTTGGTTTTGTGTACAGCAAAAGGAATCGCTCATTGTGATGGAGAAACATGTTGTTTTTGTCGCCAAAGATGAGCAATATGAAGAATGAAAAGAGAGACAAAAAAATGCTATTGGTCAACATTATTTAGACAAAGAATAAGATGATTAAGATGATGATAAACTCATATTGATGGTGATAGTGATGGCGATGAGAAATGTTGATGAGAAGGCAAGTTGAACTGAATGATAATGGTTAGTGAATGAAAGTGTTATAATGGCGAAAGAGACGGTAAGAGGGCGACATAAAAAGACAGTCAGGAAGAGGGAAAAAAAGTGAAGACAACAATCAAGATGAATAGTGAGTGTGTGAGATAAGTTGAGATGAACATGTTTCTACACAGATAATACCATTAATCAGACCAAGAGGGAGAGATTCATGGGTTGGAGGCTAGATAAAGATGATGTTATTCAGAAGAGTGAGACGGAGAGTGAGAGAGAGACAATGAAAGGCTAAAAGTCATGTTAAAAAAAGGATGAGTAAGAATCAGTAATAGAGAGATAAGAGGAGAAAAAGTAAATGAAAGGAACAAGAAGATTTTGTTGTGGAAGAAAGAAAATGATAGTGAAGGTTGAGTGGATATTCACAGTTCAATTCAGGCTCGTTAGGCGTTAGAATCTTAATAAAGCATAATGTCAGCTAAAGAATAAGGTAATGATAATGATAATAATAACAATACTAATAATGATGATGATGATGGTAGTGGTGGGAGTGAGTATAACGAATGTTGGTATATTGAAAAGAATTGTTAAGAATGAAGTGATAATTGAGTGCTATATGATGATCAACACTGAAAATGAGCGAGAAGAAAATGTTATGGAAAAAAGTGGAGAACTGGAACAAAACAATATTGGCTACATGAACTGGGACTGTAAATGGGAGGCAAAAGATGAATAAAAGTCAAGTGAGGTGAGTTGTGATCAACACTAAATATGTATCATTAATATCTATTGTTTTTATCGTTTACTTTCGTTTCCCATTAGAGGCAACAACAGCCAATAATCATCAACCGTAAGTCAAGTGAATTTAGGTTAAGCTAAGTCAAGGCTTGAGGGTCGGTTAATGTGTCGATGGAGACTGAGGTTATGGTGGATACAAAGGAATCAAAGTTGACTTACAGTGAACATTTAAGATGATTCGGTGGCTAACTGAAGGTTGAACACCATTGGTAGCTATACAAAGGTAAGCACCCATGTGAAGACGACTCACTTTGTTTATGGTCAGTTGTTCGCCTTCAAATTCTTCAGCTGCAAAGAATGAATGAAAAAAGAAATT